TATATCAAGTTTTTCATGCTAAGACGGGTCAAACACAAATCTTACAAAAAAAATTGTTTAATCAAACACCCATAACCAAGAGCTAATTTCTGCCGATCTGTGAGGTAAATTTATTCTTCCTGCTTGACAAAATGAAAGAGAACAATAAATACTTTTCTTCAAGAAAGTTCCTTTCATAATTATTCATCCAATGGTTGAAGCTACAATCTTTTTTCTCAGGATTCACAGATTATACACACAAGAAAAATTCCTATATCAAGTTTTTCATGCTAAGACGGGTCAAACACAAATCTTACAAAAAAAATTGTTTAATCAAACACCCATAACCATGAGTGTGGCTCATCAACCAGGTTCAAATCTCAGCAGAGGAAGAAAAAGCTAGGTAATTTCTAGAGCTAACCAAAACGAGAGCCCTTGCCCCAAATTCTTCCTACCCACCAACCAAAATTTATCCACAATCAATTACACCCATCACAAACATGATTGAAAAGTAAAAAAAATATCATGTTTAGCCTACCAAATTAAAAGGGAAAACCCCCCAAGAAATTGGATAAAGAAAAAAAAAGCAATCTTCTTACCAGTCAATGAACAAATCTGGAAGATAGGGTACCCCTCTATTATAATATATATATCCCCACACACGAAAAAAAAAAAATATACAGTGAAGGGTACTTGAGATTATCTGAAAATGGGTTGGAATTCAAATGGAAATCTGAGCGAAAATTCCGACAGAAATTGGGTAAATTCAAGATTTCAAAAGATTGGTTTTTGGATATTTTTCTTACATCTCCTTTTTTCTTCTTGTTAAATATTGGGAATAAATGTCTTTTGACCTGTCTACGAATAAAATAAAATAAAATAAATTCTTCCGCTTTCAATTTATTTATTTTATTTTATTTTTTATAAAATAATTTTTTAATTATAATTTTATATGATATATTTAAAATTGCAAAATTATAACTGAAGCTATTTTTAGATAAGGTATAATGCGTATATATGTTTTACCGAAATTAATATGTGATGTATAGAAGTTAAATATATTATCTATTAAAATTACATATTTAATTTTATACGCAATTCACATAATTTAAAAGAATATTTGTTCATAGCTAGTCAAAGTTTTTTACTTTGCTATTGCTACGCTGCATTAGATTGAAATGAGATTCGAAAAAAATAATGTTATTTTTTAAAAAAATTGTGTTAAAATAAAAATAAAATAAATGAATTGAAATGAGAGAATATAAATATTAATTAAAAATACAGTTATTATTTTTTTTTTTTAAATAAGAAGAAGGCTTTTGAATAAGGAACAGAGAGTATTCCTGTAAATTTTGAAATTTATTTGTCAAATTTTATCCAAACGCGTTAACTTATATTTTCTAATAATTTTTCCTTTTGTTGACATCAAAGATTTCTACGTAAAAATAAATATTTAAAAAATTAAAGAGAGATAGAACCGAGTGATGAGATTTTGTCAACAGAGAAAAAAATTATGACGATAGATTATTTTAATCACAAGATTTGTCATAAAATTTTCTATTAAAGATTAATCATATGTATTCTAGTCATCCCATAAGAATTCTTAATAGTTGATTCTAGAATTCATTTATCATTTAAATATGTACCTCGTCTACAGTCACACTGGATATTTTTTGTCGTAAAATTACATTATAAATATATATATATTAATAGCTTAGCTAAAAATTTTATGAAGGATATTTAAAAATTTTATAGCTCGTAAAAATAATTTAAAAAATGAGTGTCTTTAAATTTTGTAAATCAAACTACAAAATATTAATTATTATTTTTTAAAATTAAAATATACCAAAATTTTTGAAATCAAAGTACATACTAATTTAGCTTTAATGTTTACGTTTATCTATCTCATAAGAGTGAACGAACAAAAAAAAAGATATTTTAGTTTAGAGTAAAATCACTTTTATACTCCAAGATTTCACAAACCTCTGATGACCAACAACGAGAAATGAAAAATAAAAAATAGAATCAAATGAGTTATATTAAAAGAGAATTTATATAAAGTATTTTCACTTTTAGTAGCATTATGAAATAAATAAATAAAATTTGCTTATTAACTTTAAATTAAATAATTTCTTTTAAATTTTATTTAAATTTTCAATGAAAAGAAAAAAAATAGATTTTGCTTATTAAATTTAAATTAAATACTTATTTTCAAACTTTATAAAAGTGTTTAATGAAAAGAAAAAATAAAAGTCAAATAACGGGAATCGAATCTGCACACCGCAACTTGAAAATAACTTAGTAAGAGTTGAACAATTAAAATCACTAAGCTAGAAATTTTTATTGTTTTTTAAGGGTGTCTAAAATATATTATTTAACCATTTAAATTGTTATTTTACTTATTAATACGGCTTAATTTTCTAACAAAGAGTGTCCACCAAAGGGTAGCTACGCCCCCGATATATATATAAATATAAAATGTTAAACAAATTAAAATTAAATGCAATGAATAATAACGTAATTTCAATAATAAATGAAAATAGACTTAAATTTACACATATATTACATTCGTTGAAAGCGTCTTATGTTTTTATTTCTCAACTCAATTAATGTTAAGTATAAAATGAAAAAAATAATTATCTTTTCTTGATATAATGAAAGTATTAAATAAAAGAAATAAATATATTTAAAAAATTTTGGACAAAAAGTATTAAACTGAAGGGGTAATAACATAATTTCAATAATAAATGGGAAGAGACTAAAACTTACACATATTTTGCATTTTTTGAATGTGTTTTATGCCTTTCTTAACAGAAGAGGTAATAACATAATTTCAATGATAAATGAAAAGAGATTGAAACTTACACATAAATCGCATTCATCGCATTCGTTGAATGCGTTTTATGTCCTTTTTTTAAACTCATTTAGTGTTGAGTCTAAGATGAAAAATATTTTTATCGGTATAATAAAAGTATAAAATCAAAGAAATAAATATGTTTCAAAAATATTGGACAAATAATATTAGACAAAAAGGGTAATAACGTAATTTCAACAATAAATAAGAAAAAACTTAAACTTACACATAAATCGCATTCGTTGAATGCGTTTGATGACTTTCTTAACGGAATGGGTATAAAGTTATTTCAACGATAAATAAGAGATTGAAACTTACACATAAATTGCATTCGTTGAATATATTTTATGTCTTTCTTTCTCGGCTCAATTATAGTTGAGTATAAAATGAAAAACAAATATCTTTTATTTGATACAATAAAAGTTTTAAATGAAAGAAATAAATATATTTCAAAAATATTGGACAAATTAAATTATGAAGAAGGGTAATAATAACAATAAATGGGAAGAGACCAATAGTTACAATAAATCGAATTTGTTGAATGAACTTTATGTCTTTCTTTCTTAAGTCAATTAATGTTGAGTATAAAATGAAAAAAAGAATAATTATCTTTTCTTTATAAGTTAAAAGCAGAGGCGGATCTAAAATTTGGAGGTCAGGGGTGCCACAACGTTCAAGTAAGATGAAAGGATCGGTTGCTCTAATTTTGCGTTACAACTCAAATTATTAATTTTATTTATTTTTATAAATGAATCGATCAAATATGTATGTGCTAATATTTTCTTTTAGATATTATGTGATTAGATTTAACTAAACAATTCAATTTTCTTTTCTTTTCGGAATTTGATGTCTTCTTCGCTAAAACTTTTAAGAAAAAAAAATTCAAATTTGAGTTTGTATAAACCATCTAATAGTATTAATATGATATATTCATCTTTCATTGACTTTATGTGTTACTGGAAATATATAGTTGAGAAAGAATAACAATTATAGTTTCAGCCTAATCATCTTACATAGCAAAAACGTCGATGAAGATCGCAAGAACCGTTAAATTAAAAAAATCATTTTTGAACTTGTGTTTTTTTGAAACTACTATTTAAATATATTCTTCATAATACTTATTTGATGCTTATAATTCAGTACTCACTAATTGATAAAAAAAATAAACACGTTACACTCATATCAATAGATCAATAATTAGTGCAAGAGAAAAAAAGAAAGAAAACTCAAAATTAATTATGAAAAGGGGTCAATTTGAATTAATAAAAAATAGTAATAAATAAATAAGAACAAATGTAGAAAAAGAAAAGAAAAGCTAAAAAAATGGTCAATTTGAATTAATATAGAATAGTCATAAATAAATAAGAAAGAATAGAGAAAAAGAAAAGAAAAGAAAAAAAAATGGAGCAAGCAAAAAAGGAAGTGTTGACGGCTAGGTTCCAACCTACATAACCTAGGAGGGAGATCCGCTCGCTGAGTTATTTTGCAATATAGTTACTGGATGGCAAAACAAATATTTACACTTAATATAATATATACATATATATACAATGTTTTTTCCGAGATCAATGAATGTCGTGGCATTCCCACGTAGCCACGTAGATTCGCCCCTAGATAAAAGTAATAAATAAAATAAATAAATATATTTTAAAAATATTTGAAATAAAATTAAATAAATTGGGTAATAATGTAATTCCAACAATAAATGGGTAGAGACTCAGACCTACATATGAATCGCATACGCTGAATGCGTTTGATGCATTCCTTTCTCAGCTCAATTAATATTAAGTATAAAATGAAAAAAAAATATTTTAAATGTAATAAATAAAAGAAAAAAAATATATTTTAAAAAATATTGCAGTAATGAAATTATACGGAAGGAGTAATAACATAATTTCAACAATAAATGAAAAGAATTCGAAAAATCGCATTCGTTTTATGTGTTTTATGCCATTCTTTTTCACCTCATTCAATGTTGAGTATTGAAAAATAAATTATCTTTTTTCGATAGAATAAAAGTAATAACAAAAGAAACAAATATATTTAAAAAATAGTAAACGAATACAATTAAATTAAAAGACAATAATAACATAATTTCAACATAAATAAAAAGAAACTGAAATTCATACATAAATAGTTTAAGAATGTATATTAGATTTGAGTCGAGAAGATTTTAGAATATTATTTAGTCATACAATTTGTTTTTGTTTGAAAAAACAAAGGGTATCCTTTTTTTAAAAAAAAATTCAATCTTCATAATAAATTATTAGTACCAATTATACAAATTAGTTTCTAGAGAAAAAAATAATCTTGAGATTGTACGTTTACCATTACCATCCAAAGGGAACATTGAGATTTTTGTGAAAGGTTTGTGGGAAGCTTCGCAGAAAGATCAAAGATTTTCATGAACCCCATAACTCTTCAAACCTCGTAACAGCTTCGAATTTCAAACCCCATCAATCTGGTAAGTACCCATTTTTGCTTTTGAGCTATTTTTGTTCTTGTCTTGTACAAAAATTCCAAGACTTTTTCGATGTGTTTTGCTGAATTTCAGTAGTTTCTAATTGAAAACTGAGGATTAGGGTTCTTGGGTTTTCGATGCGTTTTGCTGAGTTTCAGTAGTTTTTAATTGAAACTGAGGGGATTATGGTTCTTGGGTAATTTGAAATATTTGTTGACAAATGGAGAAATCTGATGGGTTTTTCATTAGAAAAAGTCCAAGACTTCGTGGGGTGTTCAATCTTGTGTGTTCCCTAGTCCTTGTGTTTATGTTCTACAACCGTGAAGATATTGTGAGCAATCCAATTATAAAGAAGTCATCTTTAGTTTCTAGTCAGTGGAACCCAAGCAGTAGATTTGATGGTTATTCTTCACATACCCGAGTGGTTCGTCGAGGGATGTTAGAAGTGAACGGGTCGGATGCTGATGATTTGGTGGTAAAAAAGCCTCAGTTATGTGCAGGATTGTTTGATCATGTGGGGTTTAAAAGTAGTTGTGACTTCTTGAAAGTTCACCCGGATTGCTCGTCTGGAGGGTTCTTTGATTACCTTAAGTTCTATTACTGTGGTTGTAATGGAAGTGCGTGGGCGTTTGTAGTATTTGGTGTCTGGCTTGCTGCATTGTTCTATCTTTTGGGTAACACTGCAGCTGATTACTTTTGTGGTTCATTGGAGAAACTGGCTAGTTTGTTGAAGCTATCTCCTACAGTTGCTGGAGTTGTTTTGCTCCCGCTTGGTAATGGTGCTCCGGATGTATTTGCGAGTATTGCTGCGTTTGTAGGAAGTGGTGCTGGTGATGTTGGGCTTAACAGTGTTCTAGGTGGGGCTGTGTTTGTTACTTGCGTTGTTGTGGGTGCTGTTTCTCTTTGTGTAGCTGATCAGGATGTTCAGGTTGACAAAAAATGTTTTATTAGGGATATTGCCTTTTTCATTGTAACACTGATGTCACTATTATTGATCTTGATAGTTGGTGAAGTTAGTGTTGGAGCAACTATTGCATTTGTATTGATCTATGTTATTTATGCCTTTGTTGTTGCTGCCAATGAGATTTTGAGGAAGCATGCTCGAAGATTGAGATTGGATGTTGTTACTCCTTTGCTTCCTGTAAGAGGAAGTATATTTTCTGAAGGGACTCAGGAGGAGGATTCTGTTTATAGCACTTTGCTTGATGTTGAGACAGAGGACAATAACATACAGTCACATGGTTCCTTGCCTCAGTGGATGTGGGCATCCAATGTGGCAATATATTCTAATCAGTCATTGAGGGTGCATGATGGGGAAAGGCCTTTGTGGGGTTGGATTGATGAGGGTGTAGAAGTCAAGAGCCCATCATTTTCCTGCTCTCAGCTCTGTTCACTTCTAGAGTTGCCATTGACTGTGCCAAGACGATTAACCATTCCATTAGTTGAGGAAGAAACTTGGTCAAAACCATACGCTGTAGGCAGTGCTACTTTAGCTCCTTTTCTTCTTGCAGCTTTATGGAATACTCAGGATTATGTGAGTTACCTAGGCAGAAGTGTTGCTATAGTTCTTGGCATTTCTGTTGGTTGCACACTGGGTATACTTGCATACAAGCATACAAGAGCTGACCGTCCTCCGCAGATATTTTTGCTTCCATGGGTTTTGGGGGGTTTTATTATGAGTATCGTGTGGTTTTATATGATTGCGAATGAATTGGTGGCACTGCTGGTTGGATTGGGTGTTGTACTGGGGGTTAATCCCTCTATTCTTGGGCTCACTGTTTTGGCTTGGGGCAATTCAATGGGTGATCTGGTCTCTAATGTTGCTTTGGCGATGAATGGGGGAGATGGTGTGCAGATTGCTTTATCTGGATGCTATGCAGGTCCCATGTTCAATACACTTATTGGGATAGGAATCTCATTATTCCTCGGTGCCTGGTCAGAGAAACCTTCTTCATTCATACTTCCAGGGGATAGAAGTTTGTTTTACACCATATGTTTTCTCTTGTTTGGTCTTTTATGGGCCCTTGTTGTTCTTCCCAAGAATGACATGCGCCCTAACAAGATGCTTGGTGTAGGCCTTATCATCATTTATTTGGTATTTCTGTCTGTTAGACTGAGTAGTGCGATAGGGATTGTTTCATTGTTTGGGGTTAGTGACTAATAGTTGCATGTTCAGAAAGGTTAGCATTGAAATCATCTGAACTTGAGATTCAGATTGTCCCACTTCACTTGACTAGTGAACTTGATTGGTATCTTCATCATGGGACAAAGTTCCAATATAAGGAGCTTGTTATGCTCATCAATGATGTATTCTGCTGTACAAATACTCATAAAGTATGTGCTCTTCGACTCCTTTTTTGAGCCTTCTTCTCTCTGTGTTGCATGATCTTCATACTGTTTGTATTTCTGTAATAAAATTTCTTTTCATAGAATCAAAAATTCCTCCCGGTGCAATGAAATCTGAAACTAATTAGTTGATGGTACCTGTTTTAGTCAATGAGCAGCTAGATGCCTGTTTCACTGAAAAGATGGCAAGAAAAGTTGTACAATGAACAAGTTGATCACCATTTCGTCTGGAGACATTATAGTGCTGTTGGACTAGAAAATGATTTTGTTTTGGGATAATTGGTACTGGTTTTGTTTTCGGTAGAACTAGTGTGACTGTTTGGATTTAGTGTTTAATAAGCTTTGGGTTTGCTTTTGGGAGAATTATTGTTTGATTTCTTTTATTGGAAAATAATACCACTAAAACTCAAAACATTTTAGAACATTTTTATATGAGTAAGGATTAACATTGACTAAATATCTTTATTTGATGCTAAACATATTTTCAAAGAGATGGGTTTTATGAGTAAATTAAATTCAGTTAAAGATATAGATAAAGGCTGGTTAAAAGTGAAACTCAGGCCAAGCAAATAGTGACTAAATTGTCACATTGTCGGGGTCAAGTGAATCCACCTATCAGAACTACAAAACAAATGTGGATTAAGGCTCGTAGTTTTGTTTTAGGAAAACATCTTTTATTAACACACCAAAATGGTTTGGTTTCTAACCAGAGTTATGTGGTACCATCCTGGTTTTTGGTGTCCCCCGGTGCATATTGGTTTTACCAGTGGCAATGAAGCTGGTGCAGTAGGTGGATGTCAGTGGGATCATATTGCTGTACGAAGCCCTCTTCTTCTTGTCATATCAAGGGAGCATGGCTCTATTTCAGGCTCACGTGGTAGGCGTGGTTTTCACTTAGTAACTGCTGGATGTATTAGTTGAAAGAAGTCTGAAGTTTGATTTCGAGTTCTTTGGTTTCCCATTGGTGTTATTGTTGCTTGCGAAGTACAATATGCTTTGTCTTGAGTGCTTTCAGTGAAATGTCGTCAAGAGTTTCTTGAGGAATTTCATGGCTGTCTCTCTCTCCAGTGATTCATGCTCCAATGTGTCTGCTGTATAGCATGTCAGTTCTTCCTGATTATACAACAAAATAAAACCTAATGTCAGAGTGAAGGAGAGTGTTACAATGTGTTGAATTAGATGGCTACTTTCTGGTTCAGTCTCTTTTTCGTCTCATTTGTGACGTTGTCTTTAGCCACCATAATTTGACAGCATTGTACTGATCTTTCTCTTGATAAGTTGAGATCATTTGCTTGATATTACACGAAGTTAATGTCAAAATTGCGTACAACTATGTGGAGGCTTAAACACCATTACTATAAACTGTCCCAATCTCCTATATACACCGATTGCTTTACACCGAAAAGATACATGTAAGTAAGGACATTTTGATACATCAAATGTTATTCTGACCGTATGAAATGATCTCCATTTGTTTCAGTCTATGTAGTCTAAAAAAGGAACAAGGGTATGATTTTCAGTACTCCCCTGTTCAACCACCACATGAGAAGGAGACATTGGGATACATTCCTATATACTTCTTACTTCTAGAAATGATATTTTGTTCCTTACATTCCATTTGTCCAGAAAAGGCCTAGGTATGATCTGCCATACTGCCCTCGTTGGCTTGCCTACCCCTCTATGTGCTCTTACAAGTAGCAGTTGTAAAAAAAATCTGCAACTTACCTCATATAACCGTTGTTAGTGTCTATAGTTGCTTTCTCTTACATTACAATTATGTTTTTTGGTTATTTTTCATATGCACATTTCTTCATTAAAGCTCACGTTTTGATTGTGCTTTGCACTCTCTAATTCAATATCCAGCAGATTTTGGCTCCTTTTTATGCCTTTTGCCTTTGATAACACCAGTACGTATCTTGGAGCATGCATGCATTATCTGTTGTTTTAGTTTGTTCGATAAACCATCAAGATAGATGAGAAAAGACAGTGCCATTTTAGATACGATGTGTGAAGACTGTTCCAAGTCCATTTAGAAGTAATTGGTCTCCATTTAGGACAATCAATCAATTATAAAAGGATATGTCCCTGCATGTTTCTGAGATTTTTAACTTTGGTTACTTGGATAAAATAGGATCTGGAAAAGAGAGAGAAAACTAGAGTCATTTCTGAAAGACTACATTGTGATTTATGTCATTGCCTTTTAGACTGCAAATGTCTTTTGATAAAGCTATCCATCTCTCTGTTGGTGACTCAAACAAGTGGTTCAGCTTTTTTCATCTCGCGTCTATCAGGTAAAATCTTCTTTACTTTCTCAATCTTCTACGAAATAATTTGTCTGTGTGAGATGGTCTGTTCTAATAGTGACACCTTAGATACTTCTTGTTACAGTATTCGATATTTGACACCTCAGTTACTGGTTATATATCTTCTTGTTACAGTATTCGATATTTGACACCTTAGTCTTACACTACTCGATTTGTAGTTGCTCGTTATGCATGGTGGCTTTAGTATTGTTTTGCAGATACTGTTATGGAGCAGTATATACTGGCCTTAGCCCTTGTATCTAACATTGGACATTGAAAGTTATTTAGCCCTTGTATCTAACATTGGGCATTGAAAGTTATTTTCCACTAGCATGAGTTTTATGCATATATACTTTATGATAATCCATAGATCTACTTGTTTCCAGCTTCAAAATGGGTGGATAATGGGTCCGCTCTTTTACCCTTCTTTGCTTAAATACTACACTTGATTTCGATGAATCAAGAATTATTGACAAAAGTATTCGTTACTCCCTGAACTTGAAGCTTTTTATTCGGTGTACATCTAAATTATGTTCCGTTCTAATTATCTCCGAACTTGTTTATTCCTCCATCGCGTACACTTTTTTTGTCCACCTGCTCCTATTGTGACTACACGCGTGCTACAATTGGCAAAAGTGGTAATTTTCACTTGGATAAATAATAGTCACCTAGGTAAATAGAGATTTTACGTCTTTTTACCGTTGTAGCTTTATGATGTGGCAAAAAATCACTTGCTCATGTGCCTAATAGAGTGTGTTGTCAATTTCTACACCAGGTGAACAATAAAGGTGTACGTGATGGAGGAATAAATAAGTTTGGGATAATTAAAGCGGAATATAATTTAGGTGTACGCACTACACAGAATAAAAAGCTCAAGTTCAGAAAGGTAATGAATAGTTTTGCCTAATTTATTCGTTTTTTTAAAAATAATTTTGTTTGGTGGTCAAGTATTCTAGAAAGCTGTTAGTTGGTTTGTGTTGACCTTTAATAATTTTTTTCTTTTTCCTTTTACTTGTTCAACATATTAAAAAATATTTTTTTTCTCTTTTTATATATTCATTTTAATAAATTAAAAGATGTAATTATTTTTTCTTTCGATATACCATTATCCTGGAGTATCCATTTTATGTAAGTCACAATTCTGTTAATCAATTTGCACATTTATAAAATTCCCACAAAAAAAATTAATTTATCAATGGAATCTTTTTTGGCCAAAATTGCACATTATTTGGGCAAAAGAACAACATTTTAATACGATAATGTCAACAATTAGCCAATCGAATTGCTTATTCGTTAATTAATAATTTTGAATTTAAATTTTGAGTGTGAAAAAAATTCTTAATAAAATCTCGCGCATTCGGATTATTGTCAACCATTTGACTTTCATTAAAGCCCTTTCATAGCTATAACCTCCTCCCTCCCCAATCCCCAAGTCAACCCCACCCCCTCCATATGATCCTATTTTTTAAAATTATTATATTAGATCTTTGATTAAAAAAATATTATTTATAAATAAAATATTTTTATTTAAATTATTCGAAACTTCGAATAAATATCCAATGGAAAGGCCCCACCCCACCAAAGGAATAAGTTTGCATTGTTATTGGAGGTTTTAAATATTTATTATATGTTCCAATCGACGTGCTAAATAATATTTTTGTTATTTTTTTAAAAAAAAATAATTCTCTAGAATCTATTATTCTTTTCAAAATTATTTCTGATTAAAACTTTTGAAAATAGTTAGCATGTCTTAGTCCTATGAGGCTAGCTCCTACAAATTTTTTTATTGCCAAGACCATAACATTCACATATCAACAATTTAAGCATGGTATATTCTATAAAATTATGGAGAAAATAAATAGGGAAATGAAGTAAAAAAAAAAAGAAAATAATAAGTCTAAGAGACTTTATTTATATCTCCAAAAGTATACTTGAGAATTCCTATCTTAATTGTCGAATTCGAGTTTTAAATATGAAAAATCTTTTTCATCAAATTAATAATTTTGATATATGTAGATAGTTATTAAGTTTATATGGTTGTTAGACCTACCATTGACTCAATTATTTCATCAATGACTTGGCTTTTCAATTTTATTTTTTTTAAAAATAATCTCGGAGACTTTTCAAGTGTGCTCTAAATAAGTAAAATAATAATTAAAATTAGTCCCATCTCATTTTAGGAAAAAAGAATTCCATTTCTTAGAAGATCAAAAAGAAAATTAGAAAAGGGTGTGATATACCTCACAATTTCATCATTTGAAGATTGATATTTTTTTGGTTATGAAAGTGACTTATATAGACCCATACCATTATACAAACGGTTCACATATACCTTTACACTCTAACAGAAGTGAAAATATTAATTTTTTAAAAAAATAATATATAATCCACATGGTATATTTATTCCCCCTCACATGTATATACCATATGGATTTATATATATATATATATATATATATTATATTTTTAAAAAAATTAAAAAATTAAATTAATTTTTTTTTAAATTTCGTTAAAAAAATAGGTACATGTAAGCCATTTATATAACACCAGAAAAATATATGAGTCAGTTTTATAATGAAGAATATATCAATTTTACATCACAAATTTAAAAGATATATTTGACCAAAGAAGATTTATAAATACCATGTGAAACAAAAATAAACAGATACCAAAAGACAAAATAGAGATTTCAATTTTGATTGACATCATTTACAACTAAACCACTTCTATTCATTTTTATTTATTAAAAAATAAAAGTAAAGGTGATAGTGTTGCTTTCTCTAGTAGTTCATTAAAAAATTAGTCCTTTATTTTTTTTTCTTTTGTTTGGATTTATAACTTTGAATATTTCATGTAAACCTAATTTTTTTCTCAATATGTTTCTTTTTGAAAATGTAATTTTTAAAAACCTTTTACTATATACTTATCCTTACGTTCATTTTTTTTAATTGTTCAATATTGACTTGACACATTCTTTAAAAAATAATAAATAACACGACAATTTTACTATATCTCCTTCTGGAAATAATAAATTCAACATATTAGGAAATGAACAGTTATCTTTTAGTTTTTCAAACTGAATGAGTAAAAACAGACAATGAAACATCTATTTTTAATATCATTGACAAGTAAAAACGGACGAAAAGAGTAACACTTGGACAATAAAAAACTATATCAAGTGGATATTTATTAGAGGAAATGCTTATTAGTAATTCTTTAAGGCAAGATACTGACAAATTTATTAGAAGGCAAGTAAACTACCATTCTTCTTTAATAAATTTTGAAGTCCCTTATAATATAAGACCTCTCATGCATCCTAAAATTTAGGCAAAAAATAAAGCATATGTTGACTTTTTTTAAAAAAAAAGTTTTTAGTCTTTAAGTTTTAGACTCCCATGAATACAACTAGCCACTACTTATTTCCACAAATCTCAATTTTTTTTTTCATTGTTAATAAGAGATTGCTCATTAAGTCACCTACCAAAAACTTGCTTTTTGGGGAAGGAGAAAAATGAAAGAAATGGAAAATGGAAAAAGCTAAAGTAAAAGAAAAAGGAAAAGGTTAATAGGACAGAATTAACAACACTTTTTGGTCCCTCGATTATTGATAAATTTTATAGTTTTTTTACGATATCTGTCTAAGTATATTTAATCTTACATTAAATGAAATGCGCACTTTTGATTTCTTTGTTTTTGCTTATTCACAAATTTATCATACTGATTAACCATTCCACCGTTTAATTACTCGTATATTATGTTAAATTTGTATTGTTACTCCATATTTGAGAGAGTAATATAGTTCTAAAAAGAAGTTCAAATATATCATATTTCTTCGATAAAAGGACCAAACTCATTTTATGACTATGGTGTCCGAGTCGGCTTTTGCTCACCTCGATTAATTCTATAGGATATCTGTCGTATGCTACTAACAGATATAACGTAACAATATCCACCAAGACTAAAAAAATATATAAAAAAATTACCTAATGTTATTTTTTCTCCACTAGAATCTTAACTTGAGACCTCGTGACTCTTAATCACTTCGTTGACGACTAGGTCAGTCAGATTTTCCTCCCCATTCTCTTCCAACCCAAACAAAAGGACTATATATTTTTTCTTTGCCCCACTGTCTTCCCCATTTCCTCTCCCATTTATTACTCTCTTTCCCATCCTCCAAACATGGCATAAGGTCTAGAAAATTTTGAATACAAGGCCTCTCATTTACACAAGAAAGGCTTATGGCTTCTTCAATCTCTATGAATATTCTTTTTTCATTCATATTACTATTTTCAGCTTCATGTGTTGTTTCATATACAATTCAAGATCAATTCTACCAATGTATTACACTCTATTCGGATCGTTCGATCCCTTTCTCCACAGCTTTCTTCACTCCTACTTCCAATGCTACTTCATTCAACTCTGTCCTTAAATCCACTGCCCAAAATCTAAGGTGTTTATCACCTTCTCAACAAAAACCTCTGCTTATTTTCACTGCTTTGATTGAATCTCATGTTCAAGCAGCAGTTATTTGCGCGAAAGAGCTAAAAGTTCAGCTCAGAGTTAGGAGTGGAGGTCATGATTATGAAGGCATATCTTATACATCAGAAATGAAAAGATCAGTGCCTTTTATCATGCTTGACTTAGCTAAGCTTCGTGCGATTAAAGTGGACATTGAGGACAACAGTGCATGGGTTCAAGCTGGTGCGACGATTGGTGAAGTGTACTATAGGATTGCAGAAAAAAGCAAGACACATGGTTACCCTGCTGGCCTATGTACCAGCTTAGGAATTGGTGGTCATATTACTGGAGGAGCTTATGGTCCTATGATGAGGAAATATGGTCTTGGAGCAGACAATGTTGTCGATGCTCGGATTGTTGATGTCAGTGGCAGAGTTCTTGACAGGGCCTTAATGGGAGAGGATTTGTTTTGGGCAATCAGAGGGGGTGGAGGAGGCAGTTTTGGCATAATCTTGGCTTGGAAAGTTAGACTTGTTCCTGTTCCATCAACTGTGACAGTTTTCACAGTTCCAAAGACACTGGAAACTGGTGCAACAAAAGTCTTACACAAATGGCAACATGTTGCACACAAGATTGATGAAGATCTCTTCATCAGAATCCTCATAACTACAGTCAATTCAACAAAGGGGAAGAAAACAGTGCAAACAGCTTACCAAGCTTTGTTTCTTGGAAAAACTGATAGGCTTCTTGATGTGATGAATCATAGCTTCCCTGAATTGGGATTGACACAAAAAGATTGTGTCGAAATGAGCTGGATTCAATCAGTCATTTACATTGCTGGTTATCCAAGTAACATTAAACCTGAGTTCCTACTTCAAGGGAAGTCATTATTCCCTGCAGTAAACTTCAAGGCTAAATCGGATTTTCTCCGTGTACCAGTTCCAGTAACTGGACTTCAAGGGATGTGGGAGAAGTTTTTACAAGATGATTCACCTATGATGATATGGAATCCCTATGGAGGAATGATGGGAAAGATATCAGAATCTTCAATCCCATTCCCACATAGAAAAGGAGTCATCTGCAAGATACAGTACTTAACAGCCTGGACAGATGGAGACAAGAAAACTGCAGATAAACATATCAACTGGATCAGAGGACTTTATGAGTACATGGGCACTTTTGTATCCAAGTACCCTAGAGAAGCTTATGTGAATTATAGAGATCTTGATCTGGGTATGAACAAAAATGCCAACTCAAATATCTTGGAAGCTAGTGTCTGGGGGAAAAAGTACTACAAGAACAATTATGACAGGCTTGTGCTTGTCAAGACTAAGGTTGATCCTGATAACTTCTTCTGGCATGAACAGAGTCTACCAATCCTTCCATTCAAAGTTGGTCAAGATGGGAAAAGTTTGATTCACTGAAGAACTGCATTTGGCTTGATGGTGTATTGTAATATTTAAGGAAAAAAGTAAAAATAAGTTTAAGTTTTGCTTTTCATTTGGTTTCATGACATGTAATGTATTGTAGCAGAAGTTTGTATTGATATGAAATGTGAAACAAATTTGAGGAACAACAACAAACCTAGTGGGGTATGACGAGGGTGGGTGCACGTAGACGACCTTCTCTCTACCTTGTGAGGGTAAGGTATATCAATGAATTCAAGGAACTACA